AATTCAACATATTTCTTACTTGGATCAAAATATTGACCCAAACACCATTCAATCTAAACCTTCCTAACACCAAATCTGACTCCTCTAAACTTTTTATTATATGGATCATGCATTTTTTATCAACGTGACTTAATTTACCTGAATATGAAACTAAATAAATCAAAATGAAATATTTTGAGTTGATTATAGATTAGCCGGTTAACTTAAGACACCCAAAGAAAAATTTACATGTTTGACCAAAACCCAACCCAAATAGAAAACAAGTGCATCAAAAGCCATTTTTTTTCTAGTCGAGCTTAGAACAAGAAGTGAGATTGTGTAATTTATTACACCCCTTTTTAATATATTCAATTGGATTCAACATGTAATGTGATAATTTACACAATAATGATCCAAAATCCAAATAAATAGTATGTTATATAACTCTAAGTAATGGTAGTTTATCAAAAATATCATATGAATATAAATGCTTAAAACAAAATAAAAAATTAGCTAGCATCGTCTAAGTATGATCACAAATTGTAGACATATTTTAAAAGTATATTCATCATAGTATAAATAAATGTAGCTTCATGGCTCTCCTTTTAAAAAGCATTTTGGCTAAAAATATGCAAAGATTTGTTAAGTATTCTTATGACTGATAGGTTTTAAAATGACTCAACTCATAAGTTTAAGGTTGTGTATACATATAATAAATATGTTAGAGGAGCTCGATTTGTGTTAGGCAAGTTCAAATGAAAAAAATACTTTTATGATTTCTAATGAATACACTACATATAATTCTATAGCAGAGATAAAAAAAAAATATTATTCATTATATTTAACTAAAATTTGACAAATCACATAAATATGGCATCTATATCATATGGACAAACAACTTGCTTAAAAGCAAAGTAATCCAGAAGGTTTAAACATAATAAATTGTGTAACATTGCATTCAATTGAATAAAAAAAATTTAAATTTTCATCTTTTCTAGAAGAAAGTTAACATGGATAAAATCACAAGTATGCCTATAAAATTTGACAATATCAACAAGCTTCATTTTCTAAATTCGTCAAATAAAAAATCAAGAAGCAAAAGAAAACTAAATCATTCAAGCTATTTTTTTTAAAGGAAAATCTCAATAGTCAATTCCACAAGAGTTAAATTATTTAACTACTGGCCTTAGCAAGTGTAATTTATTAAGATTCATTGTTAACGGATTTATTCAAATCCTAAGTAAGGTTTAGATGTAAATACAATTTCATATTCAACTTCACATCCAAGTATTAGCCCTTCAACAGCTATAATTCAGAAATATGTTATAGTATTGAATTTATTGAACATTCTACAATGGGTTTAGGTGTGAAATCATATGTGTGAATATTATATATTATCAAACTAAAAATCATATATATATAATTATAAATTTATTTTCAAAATCAATTTCATAATTTAAAAAATAAGCATGAATTATAATTTCTATGATTTCTTTTGTTAGAAATAGTAATTTGAGGTGTAATAGTTCTAGCAAATAGATAAATAATATATTTTTAAAAAAATTAGAGCTCTATGGTATGCCTGATTTATTGCCATTGAAGAAAAACAAAATTCAAGTTTAGTTTTAATACTTAGATACTAATAAGTAAAAAGCCAAAAAAATATTTGGCTATAAAAATATTCGAACCTAAGAAAATAATGAAACACATTATGGTTATATTATTTAAAATTCTTAAGTTTGTCATGCACTTAATCTCTTAAAATAAAGAACGGCTACTATTGTCCTTTAAGTTTGTGTTTTACAATGAATTTATTTTGTTAAAAGCAAGAAGATTCTAGCAATAGTCCTTAACCGAAATATTTTAACATGTATAATAAATTTTGTTAACAGTTTCTATTTGATATAAATCAAACATATTATACATTTCCAAAAATTCAACTAACTCGTCCATCTAATATAGAAATGTAACTCACGGTCCATCAAAATTAAGTTGTAATCATCTAGAATCATAGCTAATGCAAACCAAGAGTTATAGTATTTCCAATTAAGCACAAATTTCATTGGTTGGCTCTTAACCCCGTGGACTATAGCTTCTATTTATAACATTTTAATTCTCAATACTATAGCATGCATTAGCCTTTTCCAGAAAACGTAGCTTCAAAGACTTTTTTTATTGAGGTTTCCTTCTTCTCCCAAGACTATAGCAGATCGAGCGGCACATTCCTACAATAGCTTTCCTTCTTAGTGTCATTTGATTGACACTATTGTACATAGAATCATTTTTTTACTTTGTAAAAGTGAGAATTATATGACTTAAAAAATTTGAAATCTTGTAGAAAGTCATATAGGAGAATTGGAAGATGTAGCAAAATTAATAAATTTATAAAATTTTAAAGAAAATTTGAAAAACAGGAGTTATTTTGCTCAAAAAAATTTTAAACTTGTGGGAATTCATATAGGAGAATTGGAACTTACCGTTTATTAATAGATCTATAAAGATTTTGAAGAGCTGCTTTGGGTCCTTCATATGAAACAAATTTCAAACTTTCTCTAAAAATTTGTGTGCTAGTGGATATGAATTCTTGAGCACTACACGTCTCGACAATTATTTTTAAAGGTAAATCATCTTGTATTACAGTTTGGTGACAATCTTCCAAAACAATAGAAAACTGCTTTATGATTTATAAAAAAATATTAATTAAATTTTATAAATATTAAAGGCTAGAAAGTAAGGATCAAAAAAATCATTCACGCAATTGAATTCTTATTCAACAATAAGAAATTTAGGTTTTAGCAAATCTATGTAAACCTAATATCTCTTTCATATCACCAATGAAAAACATAGAAAAAGAAAAGATGAGAAAAAGTTGGGAAAAATTCACAAAAATAAAAAAAAGTAATCCTCTAAATTGTACAAGGAGATAATCTCCAACAAAATTATTTATGCCGTACTTTAACAAGAAACTAATCTAAGAAAAAGAAGGAATTTTACATCAAATTAAAAATTTCATTCAACAACCAATAGATTGTGCATGTGCCTCTAAGCCCCATATGTAACTAAAAAACCATTTCCACTGACATTTGATTGCACATATTCCATAATATAGTGCCTCCAAAGCCAGAAGTCTCTAAAACCCGTACCATTCATATGAAGAAAAATGATTATAGATTAAATGTCTCAGAAAATAAAGGAGTCAAAGATTAACGGTAGATAAACAAAACATTTATTGAAATTCCCATAGTAATAAATAATTCATAATATAATAGTTAAAATAGAAGAATTAGTAAAAGTAGAGCATCAACTATAGAACAAAAGAGTCAATGGAATAAGTAGGGGAGGCGAGACTAACAAAGACCCCTAAAAAGTCACAAACTAAAATCCAAAAGAATTTATTCAAGTAAATATAAACTTTAAATAAAATTTAAAATACCAAAGTAATAAAATAAAAATTGAAAGGTAAATTTCTTAAAGTTTATATATCAACATAATTGTTGTAACACATACATTTTTATTTACAATGAGTATAGGCATTAAGATTCACATAAACATGAATGATGTATAATAATTAATGTCATACCACTTTTAGCAGCCTTGTTAGGTCCTGGCTTATATCATCTTTATTTGTTTTCATGTAACATCCTTAGCTGTCCTTACTTCATATGTCAAGGGTGGTAGGGACAAGTGCCATCATAAGATATATTTAGTACAATGAATGATTAATTATTTTTTCATATCTTTAAGGATCACCAGTCATATAATTATCATGATCTTGTGACAGAAATTATGATTCTTTGCATAGCCTCTTCCCACTCCTAGTTTGTGTGCCCTACTCTCTTCTTCTCACCTCATATTCTTTCCTCTTCTTTTTCTCCATTCAAAGCTTCACATTGGATCAAATTTTTAATGTCTTACCAAGTTCAACAACAAAAAGTTTGCAAATTTACAAAATAGGTGCAGTCAAGGCAAATTCAATAGCTAATATCCAGGTCAATCGCAAAATGGATTGTGTAGATTATCAAAGCAAAAAAAAAAATGTGACCCTTTATTTTTAGCCAACAGTACATTTTTACAATCCGCAGTACAAGGGCCAAAATTTGACATCCAAAAGATAAAACAATAAATAATGAAAGCAAAGCCAGAGAAAATTTAGCTTAATGAAGCCACATAAAAGAGCTCCACATAACAGATTTTTATACAAATCGTGTATGTTTTGAACCAATTACCCCGCTTATTTATTGGAATTAACTCACCTCTCCCCTCTTTGCCATCAATAAAAAAATTCAAAATGAACAACTAGTTGGAAATTACAGAGTTTCCATCTTTTTAATTAAAGGTCCTTCCAACTTGTAATTAATGAAACTACTGTCCTTTAAATTAGAAAATTAATCCAACACGCAAATGCAAACTGTTCTGGTAGGGAGCCCATTTACAAATCAAATCATCTGGAAATGTTCTGATTAAAATCACTGTCCATTTGTAGTTTATAAAACTTACCTTCAAGTACTCCATCCACACATGTATCAATGGTTTTCAGTTAGTGATTGTGTAATTAATGAAACCTCGCCTAAATTTCATCTGTCTTCTAGTTTGATGACCTTTAGGGACATAGCTTTACACAATAATAGCGAACAATAATGGCCAGAAATTTTATGAGGCATTGATTGCTTCTCCCTGGGGTTTCCACCAAAGCCAAGTAACAAAAAATTTGTCTGAATAAAATCAAAATGTTGAGATTTCTGAAAAATACCATGATTATCAGAAATCAGCGATATATGCAACGAATTCATGGTAAAATAGCTGTCATCGGACAACTAGAATATGTGCATCTCTAATTGGATGTTCACTAAGTTTCCACTTTCATCTCTGACTCACTAATAATAAAACAGATCCTAATATATAAGAACAAAGATTCCAAAAACAAGCTACATCTGAATATCCAGGAACATAATCGATGGTTCCAGTATAAAAAATCAGCACAAAACTGCACAAAAGCAAAATAATTCGAATAAAATCAATACCTTTCGAGGAAACACGCCCGCCAAATCTCTTCCGGCTTCTGACCGAGTATCTAACGAGCTGTGTTCGTCCTTCCCTTCCAAAGCCGGAAGAGCATAATTTCCAAGACAGTTCAAAGAACGCAGAAAAGTGCGAGGGTGATGCGGTCCATCATAATTCGATAAGATTTCACCCGCCGGCTTGAATCCTGGTCTGCGGAAGAGTACAAAACCGGATCTCGTCGCTGCAATAGAGGCGGGAGAAGATGAGACCGAAACAAGGAAGCGAGGCTTTGATATTGATGCCCAGGAGGAAATGGAGGAAGAGGAGATAAGCCTCTCCATTGGGGTTTAGGGAGAGGAAAGAGGGTGAGCTAAGGGGGTATTGGGTCTGAAAAAGGTCCACCTTCTAACAGAGAGACGAGAGATCTACTTCACTGATTCCGGCGAACGGAGCGCCGTGCAGAGACCGTTATAGCGGATTTAAGTACCAAACGCGATCAGTCCACCAAGTGCGACCTTTTGATGGTATGTTGACTTAAAAATTTTCTCAAGGGTAAGTATACTTCTACGTTAGTTTAATCATTAATTTTTAATCTAATTCTCATTGATATTTAATTTCTTCTCAAAATGAATTCATTAACAAATTTAGGTGCATGCCACCCAATTTCTTATCTAATATCTAAACCTCAATTTTTAATTATATTACTTTATATTGAAAATATGTTAGCACAAATGCAAAGATATCTCATAGATGGCAAAAGAGACGAAGTGGCCTCACAGGATCTAAAAGGACCACACATTCAACCAGCTAGTTTCACACACCAAAATGGTGGTGTATCTGAGATGGATGATGGGTAGATCACATCTGAAAAATCCATCTAACTAGATCAGCTCGAACAAACGTCTCAGATAACTCGAGAAAGTGAAACAGATCCTCTAGTTCCAAGGCGCTTGATGTGTACCTTCAACAAATAGCCACCCCGCCTAACAGCTACTCGGTCGTATAACCACCCTGTTTTACCACCGCCCGGCCTCATAATTGTACGGCTTAACAACCGCCTAGTTACACCCACGGGTTTTTTAGGTTATTGTTCATGTACGGACTAGAATGCTGTTGTCATAGCTACGTACTTTAGAGGTACTGTGTATAAATGTACAAAGACCATTCCTATAAATATGGGGTCAATTTCATGAATAAAGGTTACGTAAATTTTTTGTTCATTATTGTGTTATTGCTCTCTCTCTCTCTCTCATCCTTCAACGCTCTAATTTTAAGCAGACCTTCCTGACATATTTGGATTCAACATCAAAAAAGGGGTGTTTAGCGTGGAGCCATGTAGAAGACAAGAAGAGGAGCACAACGATCACAAAGAGAAGGGAGCAATCAAAGAGCAATGACCAACATGGATCCTCCGTGAGATGACATCAAGGAACACATGCAGAGAGGAAGGCAGGGGACGAGAACCCAAATTATAGAAAAGGTTTCAAACCCAGATAGCGCAGGATTCATCCGGGCCTATCTGGAAGAATGTCGTACATGTCGTCGAGATAGCCCAACTATCCTCAGAGGACCCGAGAAAGCTCCAAGGAGTGTATCAACACAAGCAAATTGTGCAACCTCGCATCCTTGCAAAGGAAAAGGAGGATATCCCCCCCCCCCCCCCCC